CAGTATTTTCCTAGATGAATTACATGCTATGCTGACGTTAATTTAGGCTAACCACTGACAAATACACGCTCCTAATTAAAAGCATCTGACCAGTCAGCTGTCAGTAAAACATATTTCTGACCATAAAACTAATTTTTCTGTCGGCGTTTGTGAAACACAGAGTAACTAAAGGCCCATTAAGGGATGAAATGTTTCACCGACCTACGCAGAAATCTGCTCTAGTCCATATTTAAATCAGCTTTCACTGAAAACCATCTAGATATGCTTTCATAACAGCTTTCTCTCTCCAATAGTCCTGCATGCGTTGCCATGGATACGCTTATCTGTGCTCCTCTGGCGGTTTCTCATCTAAAGGCAGGTTTTCAGTATAAACCATAAAAATGTTACACAGGGCTTTAGATAAACAATTACAACTAAAAAAGCAACAAAAAAAACATTTAAAATCATAAAGATACAACTTTTTCATCAAAATTATCTCAGAAATAATACCTACACTGAATGTCTAGCACTGAAGAATAAAAGTAATAATTTTATGAAAAAAGAATAGACTGTATCATTTTTAGTTCTGGTTAAAATGTCAACATGAAAGATATTTGCACCAATAAGCGTTTAAAGTGAGGAGAGAAGGAGGTCAGACGTCGCCTGATGGTTCCTGCAGCTTCATGATGGAGTTCAGGAACATTTATCAGATTAAAGAAGCAAACAAAAAGGAAAAGGAGAATATTTGTTATGGGAAAATGCCAGGAACTGACAGCAGAAGGGGAAGTGATGCGAGCTCAACCTTCCCTCCGTGGGGAGTTCAACTTTCAGCCATTTCCTTTAACTTTGACGTTCTCCAACTGACTTCTTGTCCTGAAGGTATTTCTTGCATTTTAGGGGAGACAGTCAAACTAAAATCTTCTAGGTCTGAAAAAATCAATCAAAATTAGAAAAATAGGGTGAAATATATATTTTTTTTCAGCGTTTTTATTTTCATTCCACTGTCAGTACAGAGCAACAAAATTCTCTCTGTATTTAACCCCGCCCCTTGGGGAGCAGTTGGCTGTGATTGTGCGGCACCAGGGGAGCAGGGTGGGGTTTAAGGTCTTGCTCACAAGAACAGAAGACCGAGAATGGACAAAGTCCCCTGATGTTGTTCTGGCCCCTCCCTCTTTTCCCAGCATGCATCAGAGGACGCAGAAGACGCCTTGATGGTCCAGAACGTTGGACACCTTCAGCTCTTTGTTTGCATTAAATAAAACGAGAGAGAAAGATTTCACCATCAGCTTATTTATTTGAATATTAATGCATTTCAACAAATTCTGGAAAATGAAACACAGAAATAAACATTTTTAACATCATTCATATTTTGCCCCCTTTAAAAAGCATCCAAGGTGTTAACGGCTGATCGCCACAAAGCTCAGACAGCAATCAGGCAGGTTTTACAAATTCACTGAGTGGAGAATGTGATTGGCCGTTTGTCCAAAGTCTGTCACAGTGAAACTAGATGCCTGATCCTCATTAAACTTCCCACAGATTGATGACAAACTTTTAGCAGAACGATTACATAAAGATATAAAATGCATTTCATCATAAATTAAAACAGCGTACATTTGTCTCCTCCGGGGATCCATCTCAACACCATCTGGGGCCAGAAGGGCCCCTAAACATTCAGCACAGAATAGTTGCACCTCTGATGGTTTATTTCATAAATCACATCAACCATTACATTTCTTTTAATTATTAAAGCTTTTCGGTAAAAATCTGGACCAATGGGTGCTAGTGATGGACTGTTAGCTGCAGGTACATGATGCAGACTTCTGACATCTTAGGCGTTTTATTCCTTCCTATCAGGGTGTAACGGTGCAGTTTGAAGCCCAGGTTCTGGGTTTTGGTTTTTGAACATTAAAAAGATCGAATTGTGTGATTAGCTCTGATGCAGTTTGAAGGCCCAGTGAGCTTCCATCAGCAGGGTTTTCCGTTGCTGTAGCATTCGGTTAAGTCATACATTTATCTGGACCTTCTCCACTGAACAGGATAAATCTTTCCTGTTTGACTAAAACTGGCGCTGAGAAATGACCAACATCTTGGCTGGATATGGTTTGATGCTTCCCTGTTT